TGTGTGTGTGTGTGTGAGATTCATCAATTTTACTAGTTGATAATTTTTTGTAGTTTTATGTTATTTAACTGAATTTATAAGTTCAAATAGGCTTTGTATTTATTTATATTAATTTAATTCACAAATTCGTCTTCAAAATAATGCTATATTTTGGTATGATTTTTTTATGTTGTGATATTGAATATGAATATAAAGGTTTGATAATGAGTGACATAATAAGTTTAATATATTCTACTAACATTAGTGCATGGAAGGATTTTGACAGTTATTTTTTATATTGTATTTCGGTTTTTGAACTAAAGCCGCGAGGTAAAAAAGTGAATCTTTTGGCTTCAGTTTTATAAACTTTGTTGTTAGGATTTCTTTTTGAAAGACAACAAAGCCTATTTAACTATATACTTCAATTTTGGAAAATAAACAAGCCTACTGTGGTATTTAAAAGAAAATATTTTTATGTGGTAACTTTCGCTCTATACTAGACAACTTCAAAAAATTAAACCAAAATTTAATACCACTAGATGAACCAGAAACAAACAACATAGGTAAAAATTGAGAACCAGTACAATTTTTTTTATTCAGTAACTTTCACACTATATTAAGCAACCTGAAAAATTCAACCAAAATTAATATTGTCATATAAACCATAAACAAACAACATAGGTAAAAATTGAGAACTAATACTGAAACGTAGATTTTAATGCAATTTATGATACATATACAAAAAAAAATTCAAAAATATAATCATATCATTTTTAGGGTTTTATGCGAACCTGAAAACATAATCTTGAACAAGAACTGAGTTCAACAATAATGGTTCCATTCACTATGGAAAAAGACCCAAACATGAGAGCTCTTTAAATGGTGAACCCATAAGAACAAACAAATAAAAACAATAAACATAAACATCAAGCATCAAATATTTATTTAAATATGATGATGAGAACCTATGAAGAAACTTACGAATGAAAAAAAAAACAAACAAGAGAGAGAAACCAAGAAAAACAACAAGAAAAAAAGTACAAAGAGAAATCGAGAAAAAAAAAACAAATTTAAAAATATATAATAACAAGAGGATTATACTTCTATCATTTTAACATATCCTTACATAATTTATTTAACCACTCTTTTGAGCTTATTAAAACTTATACAACTCATGTGTTCTCTAAGTGTTATGCAAATATCTTGTAATTATAAAAATAATTTACAAATTTTATATTAAAAATTTCATATTAATTAAAGATCGTGTCAATTTAAAATATATATATATATATATATATATATATATATAAATACTATTTTACAATTCAGTTTTATGAAATTAAATTAAAATTAAAAATATATTCTTTAATAATTTTCGAAAACTTTATAACGAAGTTGAAGCCATTAGAACCAGGAATTTTAATATTTATTAATAAAACAATATCTTCCCTACTTATGGTAGGAAAAACTAAGTTGTCTAGCCTTTCCCTTTTATATTATTCTTTTATATTTTATGCCTTTCCCTTTTTTATGCTTTTGCGGCCATTTTAGGACCACGGTAGATGCTACCTACACTTTTTTTTTTCTTTATAAATTTATAATTATCATTTATTCAGCTTAATACCGATATAATAACTTTTTTTAAACTATTAGCCAACAAGAAAACGACAAAAAAAGTTGTAGTTGTCATGTTTCATGCATTATTCCTGACTATTACATTTATGGGAATCTACTAGTTGACATAAGGTCCGATATTAACACTACGTACATAGAATAATCTTTGGAACATATAGCTTTTAGATTACATATACATATAATCAACAAAACATGTCATATTTCATTGCATCTAATCGTAAAACCATTTTTCTAACAAGTTGGTTTATAGTTCGGTTTCTTGTGCAGGATTTCGAGTTCAAATTTTCTAGATTTGAATAAAATAACGTAATTAACGTTTCTATCAGAAGGGGTGCATGGTTGGAAAAGTATAGAAGAAAAAAAAAAGTCTTCTCTTTTGAACTAAGATATTTCTTGATATTGAGTTTTGATTGTTATGTTGAAGTAGTCAAATTAAATTAACAACAACTTTAATAATTTTGTTAATTAAATTTCAACTTTTGAGTAAATGTGAGAACTTTCAATTAAGTTTTTAATCAATTTTTATGAACTATAGAATATTTAATAAATTTACAACAAATTGGGTTAATGGTGTTTATTTATTTTGTTAACTAAGTAACATGACTGTTAATATAATTGTTATATTATAATGTCAGCTTATTAATTTATCATATTATTTTATAATTTTATAATTTTATATAATGAAAACGAAAAATATAAATTTATTAAGTATTCAATAAAACATAAAAATTTAATTGAAAGTTTTTAAATTTATGAGACTTAAGTTCTTTTTTTCCCTTTGTTAAAAACGATTTTTAATTTCATTTTATTATTTTGAATATTTTTGTTGTTTTTCTTAAAGGAATGAATTTTACTAAGTAACATAAAC